TTAGCATCTGTTTCGTTTTGTTAGTATCTTCGCGCACTTCTATGCCATATGTCATGATCGGTCGTATGCAAGTCTTATAGATTCTAATTTTACTATCTGTGCGCATATACGGATTTGACCAGACTATCTCCCGCAGACATCCTGACAGTGCAGATGCTTTGTTGATCTGACTCCTCAGGTCCTTTACTGGGTCGTGGGTGCTTGATATATCTATGCCCAGATATCTGAATTGCATCACCTGTTCTATGGGGTTGTCCTCAACCACTAACTTACATCTGAGCGGATCTTTTGCTATTGTCATACATTTAGTTTTGTTGGTAGAGATGTTCATATTTAGTAGTCGGCTTGTTTGAAAGAACTGAAAGAGCTGCCTTTGGAGATCATCTTCTGATTCGGCAATAATTGCTGCATCGTCTGCGTAACACACCATACCAATTCTTTTGTTGCCCATTCTATATCCGAGATTAAGAGATGTTACTTTGTTGATAATTTTGCCCATGAGAAGATTAAACAAGAAGGGGCTTAAACTGTCGCCTTGTCTAATTCCTCCCGGTGTTGGAATATTTTCAGTGAATTCGTCTCCTGCTCTAACTTTGGTTACGTTGTTGTTATTTAGTTTATGGAGTATCTTTGTTATACTGGTCGGTGTTTCATTTTCTATTAATATATTTAGAATGTCTCCCAGGCGAACTCTGTCAAATGCCTTCGTCAAATCAATGAAGCAAATATACGCTGGCATGCCGAACTCTATAGCTTTTTCTTTTATTTGTTTTATTATAAATACTGCGTCTGTTATAGACCGCCCTTTTGTAAAACCTTGTTGTTCTTCAGCATTAGTGATTTGCTTTTCCAATTTGTCCTTGAGAATACCCGTGAAAAGTTTCATTGTTTTATTTAAGAGGGTTATTCCTCTGTAGTTGTGTGAGCAAGTTTTTTGTCCTTTTTTAAATATGGGGATTGTGATACTATTATGCCATTCCTCTGGTGTTTCTGTTTTGTTTAATATTTTGTTAAATAGTTGTGCCAGTTTACTTGCAAGTTCCGGGCCTCCATATTTTAAAAGTTCATTGGGTATACCATCCGTTCCCGGTGATTTTCTGTTTTTTAGCTTTTTGATCTTTGCTTCTACTTCTTCGTCATTGATTGTCGCACTCACATCTGTTTCGCCTTCGTTTATATTCAGCGTTTCTTCAGCATCATATAGCTCTTTAAAATGCTGTTGCCATGTCTCTATAGGTACTCCTTTGGTCTGCACGAACTCGTTAACTGGTTTTTTCCTGTTGCGGAGCATTTTCCATACTTTCTTTTGGGCACCATATAGGTCGTAGTCCATGTCGCAAGTGAATTTGGCCCAATGTTCTCTTTTGATTGATTTTATTCTGGCGTTTACTTCGTTTCTTATTTGGACATATTCTGCATGAGCTTCTTCCGATTGCGTGCTTTTATATCTCAGGTAGCATTTGCGTTTTAATTCAGAGAGTTCTTTTATCTCTTGGCAAAATCACGGTGATCATAACAAGGTTATGATCAGTCCCCAGGTTAGCAGATGTTAGTGCTCTGACATCAAGGACTTTACGCTCGATTTGTGATTATAAAATCTATCATTGATCGCTGGCCTCTATTATTGTTAAAAGTGTATTTATGTTGGTCTTTATGAAGAAAGTATGTATTGTTGATTCTCATTTCATTTCTAGCGCAAAAGTCTATTAGTGCTTCGCCGTTTTCATTAATTATTTCTTCGTTGTACTTTTGTTTTATACCTGGTATGACAACGTTTCCGATCCGTGCATTAAGATCCCCGAGTACGATAATTTTGTGTTTCGTATTTATGTTATTTACGACGTTTTGTAGTTGCTGATAGAAATTTTCAGTTTCTGCTGTGGGCTTAGATATGTCTGGGGCATACGTGCTTATCAGGTGTGTTGTGATGTTACGCATTTTTATAGAGATTTTTAATAATCTATCGTTGATGTATTCGATATCTTCGATGTTTTGCGTGTATTTATCGTGCAGCAAAATTCCAACTCCTGAATGCGCTCTTTCTTGTTTAGCTTTTCCCGCTGTATATGAGTATAAATTCTCCGTATTTTGATGTTCCTTGGCCTTTTTTCTTTGTTTCGGAGATTCCGCAGATGTCAATATTGTGTTTCTTCATTTCTATTATGATCTCCTGGTCTCTTCCGTTCCACGACGTAATTTTCCAGCACGCGATTCGTGTGATGGGGTCTTTAGGTTTTCGTTTACCAATTCGGTTTTCCATTGTCATAGCGTGTGTCGTCATCTGATATTTCCGTCCGGTATCCGAGGCTGAATCTTCAGTTCTGTGAGCCAATATGGGTTTCTTTACCCCAGGTAGGTGGCTAGCCTTGCCATGGGGACCCTCCTCCTTTATCCGGGCTTGGGACCGGCAGTGTCATCCGATGAGCTACTCAATCCACCCATCAGACAACCCAGGCGGAGATCATTTATAATATTTATAATACATTTAGAATACATTTAAAATTAATAATAAACTTGGTTTTTAATTTGTTCATAAAAAAAAACAGAATCTATATTAAAACAAAGAATATCTTAACGTTACGATATTTTTTGATATAAATGATCTATACCAGTAGTTTCTGAAAATAGTTAATAATTTTATGTGGTGCATAACTTTTAAAAATATCTGTATTTTAATTATACATTACAGTGAATTAAATTTTGATATTCTATTGAAAATTCAGATTTAAATGTGAATCAAACCCCTGAGGTAGACCATCCGGTATGTGTCTAATGTGATGATTTTAACATTCTAATATTTTTGATTCCTGCAGGATAGGCAGAAAATAAATTTTCTGCTTCAGTAGACTGAGTAATGTGTCCAAATATAATTTCTTCATCAGAATAACATATTGGATTGGTTTTATAAATATAACTTTACTTTGTTCGGGACGTTATGGTCGATTAAAGTAATTAAAAAGAAACTGGTAGCTGACGTAATGTTTAAAGATGGTTAAAAAAGCTTAAAATATTAGTATGTAATCATCAGACTGTAGAAATATCTACTTTTAAAGTCAAAAATATATTTTTTAACACAAATATATTCAAAAAACAAACCAAAAAAAAACACTAAATTATGTGATTTTTCTTTTTTGTTCCATAATTTTTTTTACGCGGCTATAGACATTGCTTTACAGAAAAAAACCCTCTATCCTTTCTCTTCAAATGACGTTTGGCAGAAGTCTTTGGGATTCACACTATTCGAGATACGATTTTTCAAACATTGTTCTATAACTTTTTTCTACGCAGTTTTGGGTATATAATGGAACATGTATTAGAAATAAAAATTAGTTACAACATCCATCACAAAACAATCTCAGGTGGGTCACATCTGTAAGGTTATCTGATTGAAGATAACTAAGAAGAGCAGAAGCTACTTCGGTTGAACCGCGCTCTGCTTGCTCTTCGGTCCAGATATAAAAAGTATGGGGTGTTGTCATTTTTATTATCTGTTACACAAACATTGTAAAGACTTAATTGTCTGACATAAAAAGCATGTTGAATAGGCGTTCGAGGAAGTGGTTGTACCTGCTGCATGTTAAAGCATAAAGTTTTCTCTTTTTCTCATCATGGCACAGTACTCACAGACGTCAGATGCCGGAGATTTGAAACCAAAATTGAACTCTCCGCAGAATATTTTACGAAACATTGATAACTTTACTTGGAGTTGGGGATTTTCTGCACTAGCATTATAAATCATGTGAAGCTTTCTTATTGAAAGATCACTACTTAAATATACTCTTTTTGATTTGTTGCGGTTGTAGTGACTTTCAGTACCTTTTAAATTTCCAATAAACTGGTGAACCGCCTCCTTCTTAACCAGTGATCTTTGGCTTATTCTATCACCTCATCTGTTGTCTTCTAGTCCTTGGTTAGTTTTTAGTTTTGATACAAGTCATCGAACTCTTTCTGATGTAAACTGAGTAAGGTGCAAAAATAAAGATTTACACACAGTTACGCTACCCCCAGAAGTAAGAGGAAATCGGTAGGTAACGGAAGTCGATTTTGGTTTGGATTTTGCTTGTTGTAAACCTAGGCCTAAGCAAGATTGTCGGGACCTCAGACGTTGAACGTTTTTTGTTATTATGAACCTCCCAACTAATTGGTCCTAAAAAAGTTTTTCGGATTTCGAATAAAGTGTCTTTCGAAATGCACCGGCATCACTAGGCCGAACTTCAAAACATTTAAAAGCTTTACCTTCATGTAAGCAACTTATGAACACACAATCACCAGCAGGAGCAGCGTATCTCTTTTCCTTAAGAAGTTAACGCTTTGTAACTGTCTTTTGTCTTTTTCGTGATCCAGAACTTATTCTTCCAACTAATACTAATTCACTATGTAAATTACCTTCATTTAAGCTCATAATTTCACTCAATTAAGCACAAACCAACATTAAATTATAATTTTCCTCTGAAACTAACCTGTTAAGATTGTGTACTGTCAACAATAATAAAAATCAAATCAAAACCATGTATTTAAGTCACGTGATTGGAATACTTACTCCTCTATGGCTGAATAGAAAATGTGGGGTTTTGCTATAACCGTCACACATCAGATGTGGGGTTTTGCTTTAAACACCTACTTTTAAATTAATATTACAACTGGAAATGTGGGTTTTTGATCGGCAATAAACATGACAGGCAATGCATTTTAAAATGACGAATTAGAAACATCACTTTTTAAAAAAAATATTTTTGGACATGTGGGGTTATGAAAATTACCTCCTCAAATTATGACTAGGAAGAGCTGCACGAAGAAACAGTTTTGATATTTCTTCTTGTACCAAACGAGACATTTTTGCAGAGTTGGTGCTTTCTTATTTTTTTTAGTTTAAGTTTTAAGTTTTTTTTGCAAAACAATAAAATATTTATTAATCCTAACGTAAAACTTCAGATCATTTCAGAGTAAGATACGGAATTTATCAGTTCCAATGTGTATACTAACTATATATTTTGTTTCAGTACTTGGTGATCCAAGACGGTATGTGCCCTGTGATATTTTCCCACGTCTGGATCCGGGACGATAAAAAGAAAATCTGGATAAAGACGTATATGTTACTTAGGGACCAAAGACTCTTCATTTCGCAGAAAATCCAATCGCTTGCCAAATTTATGAGGACACCCAAGGAACAAGCACTAGAACTGGTAAGTTCTATCAATAATTTTATTTAAGGATTTTTAGCTCTACATATTATAAAAGAAAGATTTGCTAAATACAATAAATGTTTTACGAGATACAATAAATGGTTTTATACAGCTTTTACGGTATAAAATACCCAATTGCTAGTGTCCTCTATCCGCTGTTTATCCACTTCTAATTCTTTTTCAAGACTCTCTTTTATTTGTCATTTGTCTCTCCTGTATTATTTCATTCTCAGTATATGGTACGTTACCATGAGTTGGTTGATTGTTATTCTACAATTTTTTTTCCTAGTAGTCGTCTGTTATTAACCAGTCGTACTGTAGCTTACTGGCTTACTGTACATTGATTGTACACTTGGTTATGTGACTTTGCGTTGTTTATAATCTTAATCCTTCCTTTTCTTTCTACATACGGTCTTAGATCTCTCAGTCGAAGCTTTCCAATGTCCTCAATTGCATGCTTCTTCCATCTTATTTTGAACATTTCTTTTGGTCTACTTGTAACTGGTCTACATTTGGATATTTTCGTACTAGCTATTTATTTATCATATAACTGGTGAAAAAATTTATTTTAAATCCTTTATAAAAGGTATATAATAAAATGCCCAAACGGCTTTCACAAATATATTACAAAACGTTTTCGGATTGTTAAATCCATCATCAGTGTAAACGAGGTATACATGCTATGAGCCACCAAAATATATGAGTCAAAACCCTTTAAATGATATAAATTTACAGTTGCTTTACATTATATGTGGTGTTATCAACAGGTCCTCGAAGACACTTCGTCTCAGGACCATTTTACATATGTAGGGTCATACGTCGCCATGTTACCAATTCCAACGGTAACTTAAACATCATAATTTGTAACCACATATAATGTAAAGCAACTGTAAATTTATATCATTTAAAGGGTTTTGACCCATATATTTTGGTGGCTCATAGCATGTATACCTCGTTTACACTGATGATGGATTTAACAATCCGAAAACGTTTTGTAATATATTTGTGATAGCCCGTTTGGGCATTTTATTATATACCTTTTATAAAGGATTTGAAATAAATTTTTTGTGATATATGGTATACAGCCAGCTACAGGAACTTAGTTTCCTAGTGGATTTTTATATAACTGGTGGTTAGTCCCTCAACATTTGTTGGCGGATGGACAAATTGGTCCATTAATTTTCTAAATTCACTTTTATCTGTAGATTTTTATTTTCCAAAATCCTTTATTTTTAGTCGTCTTTCTGGATCAAGCTCATTGTTTTTTTATCTTTATCTTTAAGTTAGTTGTTATATTTCTAGTCAGTTCTGTCAGTTCTGCCAGAACGTGTTTATCTGTTTTTATGCTTCTATCATTTTCTTGATACTATACTTGTACCTTTTCGAACTTTTTGTTGTATCATCAATATAGGTCATAAGTTGAAACACCAATGTTGTAATTGTACCTTTATTTCGTAGCTCTCTTTATTCGTTTTACCATGACCCTAAATCTTAAGGTTGGTAGTAAATCGCCTTGTATTACTTTCTTCTTCTTCTTCTTCTTCTTCTTGTATGTAGGCTTTAAAGCCTGTTTCTTCTTCAATATTAGCCTGCTAAATTGTTTAAATTGTCGCATTATCTTTTTCTTGGTCTGCCAATACTTCTTCGTCCATTTGGTGACTTATCTCGTGCTATTCGTACTATTCTATCCTCTGTCATTGTGTTCGTTCCACTTCTGTTTTCGTTTTGTCACCCATCATATAGCTATGTCTTCTATATTGCATGCTCTTCTTATGTTTTAGCTTCTCTCCCTATGCAACAGACTTTTCCCTGATATTCGTCGGAGTATTTTCATCTCTGTTGTTTCTAGTAGTCGTCTCGTTTTAGATGTTTCAGGTCTTGTCTCTGCCGTGTATGTTAATATAGGTCTAATTGCTGCTTTATAGATTTTTGTTTGTTTTTGTTTCTTGCTTAGGTGTTTTCTTCTTTTTTTCTGTGTGCCATTTTGCTTCATATGATATATTCACTGCCCTTCTTTATTCCATCCCCTGTTATGATTATTGCCTTCGATAAATTACACCACTCTGACGTCACAATCCACGCACACAAAGATGGCGGTGAATTCTGATCTGTCAATTAATATTTTTTTAACTTTTCTTTTTTATCGATAATCTTGTGTCGTAAGATCTATCACCTCTTCTTTTTTTCGGTGTCATTTTGTTTCATACGATCTATCTATTCATCATCATCATTGGCTTTTACAACTCTTCGTGAGTTTTTGCCGCGTTTACTATTGCCTTCCATTGATTCCGATCCTGTGCTATTATTTCCCATGGCCTTACTTCCATCTTCTCCAGGTCTTCCCTGACTGCGTCTTTCCACCTTTTTCTAGGCCTTCCTGTCGATCTTTTACCATCTGGTCTTTCCCAAAACACATTGCTAATCAGTTTGTCGTCATCACTCCGTACCACGTGGCCTGCCCATCTTAATCTATTGGCTTTTATGTATCTTACGATGTTTCCTTTCCCGAAGAGAGTCTCTATTTCATTGTTGTATCTTTTCGTGGTCTTGCCGTCTCTTGCCGTCTTTACTACTCTATTTGTTATCATTCGGCTATATAATCGTTCCATTCTTCTATTTCTTACCCAGATCTTGTTGTTCTCCACCTTGCATCTATGTCGTATGTCTGTACTTCTAAATTGATGGATTCGACCGTTACTTGATGAAAATTCATTTTATGTAACAATAGAACACTGAAAACTTTGTTTTCAAACTTCCACAAAATTAGAAAAATTTTGTGGAAGTTTGAAAACAAAGTTTTCAGTGTTTTATTGTTACATATTAGTCTAAAATAATTTGTCAAGTATGCTTCACAAGTTCTCTTTCTCATTTTCAGACATCTTTCGAGACATGACCTTTTGGTTCTAGTTCGATAAAAGGAGTACCTAGCTCTTTATTTAAGAAAACTATTATCCATCTTATTACTCAATCCTTTTATAAGTTGTAGATTTCAGAATCCTTAGTACGGCTTGGTTTTTCCTTTCATACTTATATGTGCCGTTTTGTTGATTCATTAAGATCCCATCGATTTAATTATTCTTAAATACATCCGACTAATTTTTTCATCCTTATTATCCATTAAGTGTCGCCATCGCCCTCACCAACGCTGACTAATTTATAAAACGTTTGTTCCTTTGTTGTTTTTGTTTTATAAACGTAAGTGTTCTAAAAGCTTCGCTTTCTTTCTCTTCTGCCACGGAGAGATCCATCTATCTAATAAAATGGTTTATCTTGGCAACAGTTCAGCTCTTTTCTCGGCGATTTTCTCAGTGCCGAAATCAATTGCAGACCATCAGCTTGCTACGAAGCGTTTCGGTCGTTATTGTTTTTCGTTTGACTTTACCTCTATATAAACAGGACAATGGGTGTCAAGCAAAAAGATTTAAGACAAATAGCGCGGACTCTATTTGAAATTCTATTGAGTGTAAAATTAATGAGGAAAATTTTTTGAAATGTATCTTGCTCTTATTTCTTCCCCAATTTTGTTAGCAGAGAGTAAGTTTTTGATGAAATTTTAATTAAATTGTACCATCTATTTAACTGTCTCTGTCAAATTTTCACAACGAATAAGTATCAATCAAATATATTATAAAAATGCAACATTGTTAAGATATGTTAATTAATTTATTTGTAATCAAACGCAAGAAACATATAGCAGAGAGCTTTATTTATTATGTATAAATTGCTAAATAAAATATTTAGTCCAGTCGGGTCTGAAAAAAAGGCATGGCAAGCTACCCCAAATTTGATTATTCTACTTATAGGCCAGGGAAATAAGCAAAAAAAGTACCCTGTTTTTGACACTCGTCCGGCCAGGCAAACGACAGATGTTTTGTGTAGTATGGACCTCTGTAACAAAAACCTATATGTTTCCTGCAGTCGATTTTTTGGACTTAATTAGTTATTAACAAATTAAGGTCAAAAAATGGAAAATTTTTGCTTTTTTCGTCTATCAGCAAAAAGTGAAGCAATTTAAACAAATTTTAGAAGAAAGGAAACTTATAAGTTATATAAACACCTTTAAAATGGCGTTTTCAAAATGTTTATATCATTATTTCTTGCTTAGAAAGTTGCAAAATAAGTCAAAAATTTCGCTTTTTTATAAATGTTAATAACTTTTTTAAAAATAAACTTATAATATTTATATTTCATGGAATGATGTGTCTTGTAGTGCTTAAAATAGGGTTAAAATTTCAAAGTGATGGGTTCAATAGTTTAAAAGTTATTTTATTTGTTTATCCCAAATTAACATTTTTTGCAACAATATAAGTCAGAAATTTATACAGTTTTGGTAATTGTAAGGATTGTTTCTGCTAGAAGAAGACTTGTTTTATTATTTACATTAAAAAAAAATTAAGAAAATTAATTTTAAATATTGCAAAATAATTTTGCAAAAACATGTCGATTTTTTGCTTATAAACAAATAGAATAACTTTTTAACCATTGACTGTAAAAATATTATTTTTACATATTTAAAAAGCTTGAACTTTTTCACAAATTTAAATAAAAAAAAGTTTGTTCTAAAATAATTTGGTACAAAGTTAGCCTCTGCATTCTGAGAAAGATTTCCGAAGTAGAAATCGAAACGTCAAAAATAAACTTATTATAAACTTAAATTGTGGCTTAGTCCCCAAAATATAGGAAATGACAAATACTTCTGTTTTACATTCAAACTTAACTTAAATACTATTTAAAAAAAAATAAAATAAATTGTTTTTAAACAAATTAGGTGGTTTATTTGACAATTTATTTATTGAAATAATGCATGTTCGTAATGTACGCAAATAGTACATACAAGTTCAAAAAGAAACGTTGAAATACATAAAAAAGGAACGGAGATACAGTTAACAGCGCCTTCCCCCTCCCTTCAGCTCTCCCACTATTAAAGGGCAATAATTTTAAAATGTAGAACTTTAAAAACTATAATGTACATTCTTTCAAATAGTGCTAATTAGATTTCT